TAGTGAAAGCAAAAGAGCAACAGGGCAGATAAAACAATAAAGCAAAGCCTCATCTTTCATTAATATGAGAGGAATTGCTCCACAATCTTCTTCGTTTTAAAGATATGATAGCCCAAACTTTCATACCTTGTGAGTTTAGACGAGGCTCTCTTCTCCCGAAGTAGCGGCCAGAGTCTTTTAACATTAGGGACTAGATAGCAGTTTGTATGCAACAAATAGAGCCTAACAAATGTATGCTAAACTGTTTAAAAGTCGAGAAAAACTAAAGCTTTCTTCACCACTTAGGGCCATGTGCCACCATTTACTGTGTGTGCGGGTGGAGCATGGCTTGATTGAGCCACACCTTCATTGCAGCCACACCTTTACATTGCTGCAGCTAGCAGCAGTGCAGCAAATATGCTGGAGCTCTTTGTCTAAAAAAACAAAAAATTCTCTGTCTGTCTCAAAACATTCACTAAGTTTTAATAAATCTAGTACATGCTGAAGCTTCTTCTTTGTCTCAAAACTTTCACCAATTATTTTCTCTTAATTTATTGAAACTGTTACATACAGATTGTGTCGAGGGTACGCACTTTAGTGCTCTCGTTCATTCATTCTGTGTGCTCTCTTTTGTCTTTGAGAATGTATATCTTTATAATTGCGCACTCTATATCTGTGAGAGCTTCTCTTCTGTGAGGAAAAGTCTTGCTTTACTGCCTTGAGATGTTTAGAGAGCAGCTCTAGCTAGTAGAAGCTTTTTATCTCATGAGAAAATGCCCAGCAATAGCGGTAGTACTCTGGAGGTAAATGAGACTCTTTTCCAGTAGATCAAGACTAGTTATTGTTTTAATATGTGTGGCACTCTTTAAATCTTTCTTGTTGGTGAGTTATAGCTTCTTGAATTTCAACCCGAGTGAATTGTAGGTAGTCTAAAGGTCCTAAACTCTCTCAAATCACTCAATTTACATCTAGGCAACAGTATTTGTGCCATTATAATGTCATATAGCACTTATAAGAAGAGAAAAATCTGAAACTTCTTGTTGCAGCTAGGGTTGCTGCCATCAAACAATAATTATTAATTAATGGTTGATGATGTCATGCCACACCTCCAATTTGGGAGTAGCTGGATTAGCTTGCATGCTGCTACTTCTGCAGGTAGTCTGGTAGATCTATCCAAGCTAGCTGCTATTCTTCAGGAGTACACTTGTTTTATATATATGCAATTTGCATGTTAAAGTTCTTTTAATTTTGATAATCAAACAGCTATAGGGGTGAGGCCACGCACCGTAGGTGTCTCGTTAAAACAAATCTGTACAACTGTATTGCTGTATTCTGGATCATATCTGATGGCTCCCCTAGTACATGTTCCTTCAGCAAATCTAACTGCTACACAAAATACGCTAACAAAGACCAGGTAGTTGAACATCATAAAAATTTACTGTGTCTGTTATAGCCAAGTCTGTTTGTGCAAACATGACATGCTGCAAATGCATGCAAAATAGAATCACCACACCCATTTTGGGCGGTCACGTCACGTGTATTTATAAAATGGAGGCTCCTAAGGAGGTTAGGAATGATCTGTATCCAATATCTGGCATTCCTGTACGCTTCCCATGCAAACCCTATCCCACTCAACTCCAGATGATGTCTAAAGTAAATTGATATTAACTTTTAAATACAGTGTAAAGCTAATATGGGTAGGAAAGTGAAAAAATTGTAATTTTAACCCTTTTCATATGTTTATATGTAATGTTATGTCAAGAGTAAATAATGGGGGTTATGTTCATCTTTCATTTCGCTTATTCTCTTTTCTCCTTAACTTTCTTTTCTCTTTCTCTCTCGTTTCTCTTCTCTCTCAAATTATTCAAGCTCTTAATAAAAGTGACAATGCTTTATTGGAGAGTCCAACAGGTAGTGGGAAGAGTCTTGCTTTGCTCTGCTCCACAATAGCATGGCAGAAACACAGCTATGAATCCAAACTCACCTCATCCAATGAACCCAAACAACCCTCATCCACTGAACCCAATACTAACAATACAACCACCTCATGTAACAGTTCTATACTACCTAATGCTGGGGATGAAAATGGAGGAGGGACACTCTGTCAGTGTACATGTCATACTGATATTAAGAAGACTCAAGTTCAATCTACCACTAATACATGTCAACCAATCAATGAGACTATTAACTCTTCACTAGTGACTGATGTTCCTCCTAATACCATTATACCAGATACTACAGCACCACCTGCTAATCCTCTTACTAATACTGGTTCTATTGCTACTGGTCCTGATCTAACTAAAGCTAATGTAATTGATCCAATTACTACTACTGGAGCTAATGTAACTGATTCTGTTGCTACTGATACTTTTGCTACTACTGGTCCTGTTGGTGATACTTCATGTACTGTTCAGTGCAATACAGCTGCTACTTGCCACGATAATACTACTGCTACTAGTAATAATGGTATGAGTAACTGTTTGTTATTAATTGTTATTATTTTCATCGTTATTAAAGATAAAGATGATAATCTACAAGATGATGGTGATGATGATGACAACGATGACTTCAAACCATGCAAGAAACGATTCCGTCCTCTAATCACAAACAAGAAAGCAAAAGTACCAACATAATAACACATTCATACGGTGTACACTCACAATCAATATAAAATTTACTATTATGAATTCAGTGCATGTAGATTTTACATTGTGTTCATTTGTTTTATGTAGACCAAGAGGTTCAAGGGTGTGGCAAAGGGTGTGGTTTATGATGATATAGACGAATCCACTTGCGATTCACAACTCACTCCTAATGAACATGGCCACCCGACATGGAGGATGGTCTCTGTAAAAGAAGAACAAGACAACAAAGAGAAAGAGGCTTGTTAACTGATTTAAGAGCTCATCATGTTGTGTGTACATTATGTGGTTGTCAGCTTTCCTTTACTCTTTACTATCGTAAACATGTACATTTAAAAATAGTGTGAATTTGTAAAACAACAAAACATTCACATTCACATATACATGTATATGTACTCACATGCAACAAGCTTATAATATCACATGATATGTATTTTTATGCTTATAGGTGCAACCTGTTTCTATTGTACCAGATCCTCAACCATCAGCTCCTCCCCTTCCCCTCCCCCTTTCCTCCTCATGTCAGTCGTGTGGTTGTAATCCTAATAAGGATATTGATAGTCTTATGTTAATGGATATCCCTCAACAACCAGTCACACACAAGTACATGTCATATATTTAATATCAGGCATTTTTATAAATTTACATGAACCATTATGTTTAAAGGTCATAAATGTATCATTGATCATCACTTATGTATAAAAAATACATGTTGTTTATGAATATGTTTATGTTCACATATTAGCAGGTACATGTACTTGGAGCTTTTGTGTACATGTATATCAGAAACAGTCTTTATTAAAGTACTGAAATTGAATGGGTCTCCATTACATGTTGTATTGTGTTGTTGTGTTATTATGAACAATAGGCCTATGAGGATATTTTATGGGACCAGAACTCACAAACAGATCACACAGATAACACATGAACTGGCAAGGACTGCTTACTCAAACACACCGTAAGAAAATGTATTTTTTAATTTTGATTTTGATTTTAGTTAGATGTTATGCCTAAACTGCTTATTGTCAGTAATGGTATATGTACATGTACATGTATGTACATGTACATGTTTTCCTTTTTGAGATGTTATTGTTATTGTCTGATTGCTGCTATTCTTGTGATTATCGAAGGCAGTCGGGAAGTAAACACATCAACAAAGGAAGCCTCTTGTTTGCTTTAGGAGTTAACATAATCAAAAAGACTGGAGTATTGTTTGTGTTTCAACTGTCAGCCATTTATGTACATATAGTACATTATATCATTTACGTACATGCTGGACGTCTCAATGTATTTTAGTTGTTTTTTAATTATGGAAAAACAACCTCTCAATGTAACCTCTGTATTGCCTTTATTGTAAACATGTCTATTGTGAGAAATATTCGTTATCTTCTATCTTCTTTTTCTCTTCCCCCTCTCTCTCTTCTATTCTATTAGTATGGTCATATTGGCCAGTCGTGATCATACCTGTATACACCCTCAGGTATCAACCTCAAGGAACAAGAAAGAGGAATGCAAGGCACTCATAGACTACAAATATGTAGGAACATACTAACACACTCACCATTAGCACTGTGATGTACACATTACACTTATAAAATGAATGTACATACATGTGTATATGTACAGTATAATTGATGAAAGAGGTACATGTACATGTACATGTACACATAAACTTATGTGTTCCACTTTCACTAATATGAAAAATGTTTTGTTCAATGCATGTCCAGTATGTTGGTTCATGTTCATATGTTATAGGGAGCATCCTGTGCATTTTATCATAAAGTCCAGCAGAAGTTAGGTAGTCAGTATAAACTGAGAGAAAATGGGATCACAACTGCTTGGGACATTGAAGATCTAGTGACTCTAGGGAGGAAGATTAAGGTCAGGGTAGTGAGGGTACATACGTGTATACATTGATTGTTATTTCTTTCTGTCCCTTTGGTTGTTTTTCATTTGTAAATGTGATTTTTTCTCTCATTTTTCTAAATTTTAATTTTATTTTTTTCTGTCTTGACTTCTTTCCTTTGTTTAGACTTGTCCCTATTATTCTACTAGAGCACTTTTTGAAGAAGCCGAAATTATTTTTTGTCCTTATAATTATTTAATTGATCCTTTAATTAGAGAACAGGTTAGAAGAGAGAGGAAGAGAAGAATAAAGAAGGCCTGAAAGAGAGAGCTTAATGTTATTATAATTATATTTATATTTATTCTGTTTTTTGTTGTTTTTGTTGCTGTAGATGATGATTAGGCTGGAAGACAGTATACTGATATTTGATGAGGCTCACAACATGGAGGATGCTGCAAGAGAAGCTGCCAGTCTAACTGTTAATAGTAATCAACTCAAAGAAGTTGAAGAAGAAATTGATAAAATAAGTAAAGATTGATTTACACTACAGGCATTCATATTACCCTGAGCCCTATGTATAAACTGTTGATACAATACAAAGATATAGAAATCAATGGTTATTGTATCAGGTTCTAAGCATGTGTAGTATTAGCTAATCTTAAAGTTAATTCTCAGATTTGCATCAATCAATGCTTTATAATGACTATACACTTAATATTTTCTCTCTCTTTCTTTACAGTGGAGTTTTTGCCCCCAGAAATTCAAAACAGCTATCGGATTGTTTATACTTATGTAAGTAAGATTGTGTGTTCATGTACATGTATACTGCTGTTATGTTTACTTTCATTCGTTTATTTTGGTGTTGGTGTTTTTGTCCTTTTGCAGGTAGTTAACATTTCACAGTGGATGGCCACTCAGTCGGAGAAATTAACAATAAGGAAGTTTGAGGAAAGCTGCAGTGTTTGGAACGGAAACGATTTCCTGCCATTTCTGAAAGGAATCGGGATCACCATTGAATCGCATTCAATGATAATGGTAAGGAATTAGTAATGTATACACAAGTAGTATACTAGTATCTAATGTATTATATATACTAGTACATGCATGTGTACATGTATGTATCATAAATGGATGTTTTTATTTATTTCTTTTTTATTTTTGTAGCATCATGTTAGGACAATTATTGATGATACGTTTGAGCAAGAGTAAGTGAAGTATTGTACATATACATGTACATGTACTAATATTGATGTCCTTATGCTATGTAGAAAGTTTGAGCTAATTCCAACTATTTTTACAATGTATCTCAAGTACATGTACATATTGTACTTTTGACTTCCTCACTATTCATAATGTATATGTACATATACATGTACATATACATGTACATGTATAAGTATATGTTTTGTTTTATTTATTGTAGGAGTAAGGAGGATAAGCGTCCCCCACCTCCAAAGTTACCCGTTGGTATCGTCCACATTATTGATAGTTTATTCATAATTATGGGATACCTTTTCAAGCAGTCCAAAAAGTACTTAAATGATTACAGGTGATCGTTGTAGCCATTAGATTAGATATTGTTATTTATTTATTTATTTTTGTTGTTGATTAGGATTGCTTTGAAGAAGGCAATGTCTATTCAACCTCAGAAGAAGGTATATATTGTGTTCTATGATCAACCAATACAAATTGAGACATTATTTAATTGTTACATTTTAATCTGCTCTCTCTTTTTCTCTAAAAATTTTTGAATAAACTGGATCATCATTAACAGTCATTATATTCACATCAACAGGACTCTCATAATCATTAGCAGTAGGAATTGCAGGATCCCTCCCATTGGAAAATGGCTCAAATTGATTTTGTGACAGTTCAGAATAAATTCCAATATTCTGAGTCTGACCTCTTGACTGATAAACGGTGGATGTGACATTTACATTATCACTTTGTAGTGATGACCTTTATAAGTAATACCATAATATGAAATAAAGTATTTGATTGTACCTTTTGTTGGGTTTAAATTGTTTGTCTTTACTTCTTGTAATGACAATTTTGATGATCAATAATAAGATAATAACAAACACTGCACTGATAATGATACCAATAAATATTCCACCAATCCATGAGATAGCTCCATTTGATGATGATGATGCCACAGTAGCAGTAGCTGTAATAAAATACACAATAATGAGACCTTTAATTTTATGCTCTTTAAGTTACCAGCAGGAATAGATGATGTTGTAGAAGTGCTAGAGCCAGCTTCTTGCAATCCTGCAAATAAGAATATATTTAAAGTTAAAATTACAAAGCTAACCTTTTGTTACATTAATGCATGTTGAGTCAGTCTCCATATAAGGGAATACAGCAGACACACAGCATGTGTACACAGTATTGGCTAATAAACCAATCAGTGTTGCACTGTTGTTCTTTGTCAGCAGGTTTAGTTCACTTTTGATATTCAAGTGCAGTTGAGGATTAACAGTCACATTATGCTTACAGTAAACACTGAAATTGGACAGATTATTAGCATCATCAGTATATTCCCAATGTAATATAATATCTGACTGTTGGCTATTGACAGTAAGATTCAAAGGGGGACCAGGCAAATCTATAGATAGAATAATAAAATTGATAATTATAATCTAATTTTACTTTTGCACATAACACCAGCAACAGCTTTAATAAAAGGATTTATACAGGTGTATGAGGGAATCAACCGGTCTGAATCTGAACAGTTAAAAAGAAACTTTTCATTCCCATGACATTCAAAGTTAGCAGGTAATACTGAAATATTTGCAGGTACTGAAACATTATCTGCCATAGCTTCTATAGAATTGCATTTGATTTCATTAGTAATATTGAGTATATTTATACCTATTACATTTTTTCCTAGTTGTCTACATACAACTTGTGCTTGAGTAGAGGACCATGTTGTACTACATAATGCATGCCACTCTCCATTTACACAGAGCAATACAGCATTAGTATCAAGTAATTGTATTTGTCCATTTTGACAGACTGAGGTATTGATACAATTACTAGCAGCAGCATAATAGTTGGCATGGTCGCTATAAGTATAACAGGACTGATGGTGAGATCCTAGCTCAACAACTTGCAGCGTACAATCTAGAAGGTTTTGTTGTACAATTGGTTTATTCAAGCAACGAAGATCTCGTATAAAAAGAGGTGTAGGAACAGGATTCACTTTTGATACCTGAGTGGTCCCTACATCACATCATAATTATTACTACTTATTCACTACCTAATAATAAGCTTGCTATCACTTAAAATTAAAAATTAATCAAGTATACTTCTATACATACCAGTATCAGAGTGTTTAGCATATCCCATTTGTTGGCAAATGACATTAGATATTCTTTTTCTTTGACTTTCATCATTGCTTGCACAAATATATCCCCATCTATTATTAAAACAAATCTGTACAACTGTATTGCTGTATTCTGGATCATATCTGACGGCTCCTGTAGTACATGTTCCTTCAGCAACTCCAACTCCAACTGCTACCAAAACTATGCTGACGAATACCAAGTAGTTGAACATCATGAAAATTTACTGCATCCTTGTTACAGCCAAGTTTATAAATTTGTAAACATGCCGAAATGCAAAAATTAAAATAGAATAAAACAACACGCCCATTTGGGCGGTCACGTGTTTAATAAAATGGAGGCTCCTAACCCTAAGGAGGTTAGGAATGATTTGTATCCAATATCTGGCGTTCCTGTACGCTTTCCATGCAAACCCTATCCCACTCAACTTCAGATGATGTCTAAAGTAAATTAACACTGACTTTTAAATTGTAAAGTTAATATGAGTAGGAAAGTGAAAAAGTTGTAATTTTAACCCTTTTCGAATGTTTTGTTTGTAATCTTATGTTCATCTTTCCTTTCACTTACTCTCTTTTCTCCTTGACTTTCTTCTCTCTCTTTTCTCTTCTCTCTCAGATTATTCAAGCTCTTAATAAAAGTGACAATGCTTTATTGGAGAGTCCAACAGGTAGTGGGAAGAGTCTTGCTTTGCTCTGCTCCACAATAGCATGGCAGAAACACAACTATGAATCCAAACTCACCTCATCCAATGAACCCAAACAACCCTCATCCACTGAACCCAATACTAACAATACAACCACCTCATGTAACAGTTCTATACTACCTAATGCTGGGGATGAAAATGGAGGAGGGACACTCTGTCAGTGTACATGTCATACTGATATTAAGAAGACTCAAGTTCAATCTACCACTAATACATGTCAACCAATCAATGAGACTATTAACTCTTCACTAGTGACTGATGTTCCTCCTAATACCATTATACCAGATACTACAGCACCAGCTATTAATCCTCTTACTAATACTGGTTCTATTGCTACTGGTCCTGATGTAACCGAGGCTAATGTAACTGATCCAATTACTACTACTAAAGTTAATGTAACTGATTCCATTGCTACTGGTCCTGTTGGTGATACTTCATGTACTGTTCAGTGCAATACAGCTGCTACTTGCCAAGATAATACTACTGCTACTAGTAATAATGGTATGAGTCACTGTTTATTATTAATTGTTATTATTTTCATCGTTATTAAAGATAAAGATGATAATCTACAAGATGATGGTGATGATGATGACAATGACTTCAAACCATGCAAGAAACGATTCCGTCCTCTAATCACAAACAAGAAAGCAAAAGTACCAACATAATAACACATTCATACGGTGTACACTCACAATCAATACATAGAATTTACTATTATGAATTCAGTGCATGTAGACTTTACATTGTGTTCATTTGTTTTATGTAGACCAAGAGGTTCAAGGGTGTGGCAAAGGGTGTGGTTTATGATGATATAGACGAATCCACTTGCGATTCACAACTCACTCCCAATGAACATGGCCACCCGACATGGAGGATGGTCTCTGTAAAAGAAGAACAAGACAACAAAGAGAAAGAGGTACAATGTACATTTACCCTCAACACCTGCCACTCTTTCTTTATTCTTATTTACTGATTTAAGAGCTCATCGTGTTGTGTGTACATTATGTGGTTGTCAGCTTTCCTTTATTCTTTACCATCATAAACATGTACATGTAAAAATAGTGTGAATTTGTAAAACAACAAAACATTCACATTCACATATACATGTATATGTACTCACATGCAACAAGCGTACAAATTACAATTTCCATGATCATAAGTATATGTATTTATGTTTATAGATGCAACCTGTTTCTATTGTACCAGATCCTCAACCATCAGCTCCTCCTCTTCCCCTCCCCCTTTCCTCCTCATGTCAGTCGTGTGGTTGTATTCCTAATAAGGATATTGATGGTCTTATGTTAATGGATATCCCTCAACAACCAGTCATACACAAGTATACTTGTTATATATTTTAATAATATGAGGCATTTTATATACATGTACATGAACCATTATGTTTAAAGGTCATAAATGTATCATCCATCATCATTAATGTATAAAACAATACATGTTGTTTATACATACATGTACATGTATGTTTATGTTCACAGAAGCAGGTACATGTACTTGGAGCTTTTGTGTACATGTATATCAGAAACAGTCTTTATTAAAGTACTGAAATTGAATGGGTGTCCATTGCATGTTGTATTGTGTTGTTGTTATTATGGACAATAGGCCTATGAGGATATTTTATGGGACCAGAACTCACAAACAGATCACACAGATAACACATGAACTAGCAAGGACTGCTTACTCAAACACACCGTAAGAAAATGTATTTTTTAATTTTGATTTTGATTTTAGTTACACGTTGTGCCTAAACTGCTTATTGTCAGTAGTGGTACATGTACATGTACATGTACATGTACATACATGTACATGTACATGTATGTACATGTGCTTGTTTTCCTTTTTGAGATGTTATTGTTATTGTCTGATTATTGCTATTCTTGTGATTATCGAAGGCAGTGGTAGGAAGTAAACACATCAACAAAGGAAGCCTCTTGTTTGCTTAGTAGCTATCATAATCAAAAAGACTGCGAGTATTGTTTGTGTTTCAACTGTCACAGCCATTTATGTGCATGTAGTAGATTATATCATTTACGTACATGCTGGACGTCTGAACGTATTTTAGTTGTTTTTAACGACCTGGGGGCGAAGCCCCCAGGTCGTTCCTATAATTGAATTCACCCTCGCGCTATCTATATATATATATATATTTGTATGTCCACATTTACATTTCTTCTATACATGTTGTATTGGAGAAATAACAAGCCTTAGCAACCACCCGCCCACGCTCCTTTACGTGAGTGGGTGTGGTCACGGCAAACAAAATGGCGGCTTACACATGGGACAAAGTTAAGAGCTTTCTAACAGCAAGAGAACATAGAGATACTGTCTAAAAACTTCTCTAGAAGCATTATAAGGTAGAGAGAACCTCTATAAGTCTTAATAGTGACCAAGTTGTACTTGCAAGGTGGTGAAATCAATTATAGGAATACTTTTTACCCTGTTACGCTTGTTTAATTATGGAAAAACAACATCTCAATGTAACCTCTGTATTGTCTTTATTGTAAACATGTCTATTGTAAGAAATATTCATTATCTTCCTTCTTCTTTTTTCCTTTCCCCCTCTCTCTCTCTCCTATTCTATTAGTATGGTCATATTAGCCAGTCGTGATCATACCTGTATACATCCCCAGGTATCAACCTCAAGGAACAAGAAGGAGGAATGCAAGGCACTCATAGACTACAAATACGTAGGAACATAGAAACACACACTCACCATTAGCACTGTGATGTACACAATACTCATTACACTTATAATATGAATGTACATATATGTACAGTATAATTGATGAAAGAGAAGGTGTACATGTGCATATATACACAAACTTACTGTATGTGTTCCGCTTTCACTAATATGCAAAATGTTTTGTTCAATGCATGTCCAGTATGTTGGTTCATGTTCATATGTTATAGGGAGCATCCTGTGCATTTTATCATAAAGTCCAGCAGAAGTTAGGTAGTCAGTATAAACTGAGAGAAAACGGGATCACAACTGCTTGGGACATTGAAGACCTAGTGACTCTAGGGAGGAAGATTAAGGTCAGTGAACATACATGTATACATTGATTGTTATTTCTTTCTGTCTCTTTGGTTTTTTTTCATTTGTAATTGTATTTTTTTCTCTCGTTTTTCTAAATTTTAATTTTATTTTTATGTGTCTTGAATTCTTTCCTTTGTTTAGACTTGTCCCTATTATTCAAGTAGAGCACTTTTCGAAGAAGCCGAAATAATTTTTTGTCCTTACAATTATTTAATTGATCCTTTAATTAGAGAACAGGTTAGAAGAGAGAGGAAGAGAGAGAATAAAGAAGACCTGAAAGAGAGAGCTTAATGTTATTATAATTATTTTTATATTTATTCTGTTTTTTGTTGTTTTTGTTGCTGTAGATGATGATTAGACTAGAAGACAGTATACTGATATTTGATGAGGCTCACAACATGGAGGATGCTGCAAGAGAAGCTGCCAGTCTAACTGTTAATAGTAATCAACTCAAAGAAGTTGAAGAAGAAATTGATAAAATAAGTAAAGATTGATTTACACTACAGGCATTCATATTACCCTAAGCCCTATGTATAAACTGTTGATACAATACAAAGATATAGAGTTCAATGGTTATTGTATCTGGTTCCAAGCATGTGCAGTATAAGCTAATCTTAAAGTTAATTCTCAGATTTGCATCAATCGATGCTTTATAATGACTATACACTTAATATTTTCTCTCTCTTTCTTTACAGTGGAGTTTTTGTCCCCAGAAATTCAAAACAGCTATCGGATTGTTTATACTTATGTAAGATTGTGTGTTCATGTACATGTATACTGCTGCTATGTTTACTTTCATTCGTCTATTTTGGTGTTGGTGTTTTTGTCCTTTTGCAGGTTGTTAACATTTCACAGTGGATGGCCACTCAGTCGGAGAAATTAACAATAAGGAAATTTGAGGAAAGCTGCAGCGTTTGGAACGGAAACGATTTCCTGCCATTTCTGAAAGGAATCGGTATCACCATTGATACACATTCAATGATAATGGTAAGGAACTAGTAATGTATACAAGCAGTATACTAGTATGTAATGTATTATATATACTAGTACATGCATGTGTACATGTATGTGTCATAAATGGATGTTTTTATTTATTTCTTTTTTATTTTTGTAGCATCATGTTAGGACAATTATTGATGATACGTTTGAGCAAGAGTAAGTGAAGTGTTGTACATACTGTATAGCTTGATATTTTCGTGAGTCGATATTTTCGTGCTTTTCTCCTAGTGGGGCAATTTGTGGTTTAATTTTCATGGTTGACAGTTTACATAGCCTGTAACGGGATGGTACTTCAATGATTTTGTGGGTTTAAATTTTGTGGGCAGCCCATAACCGCGAAAATCACGAATTTACATTCCACGAAAATTTCAAGCTATACGGTATACATGTACATGTACTAATATTGATGTCCTTATGCTATGTAAAAAGTTTGAGCTAATTCCAACTACTTTTACAATGTATCTCAAGTACATGTACATATTGTACTTTAGACTTCCTTACTATTCATAATGTATATGTACATATATATATACATGTACATGTACATGTATATATATATATATATATATATATATATATATATATATATATATATATATATAAGTACATGTTTTGTTTTATTTGCTATAGGAGTAAGGAGGATAAGCGACCCCCACCTCCAAAGTTACCCGTTGGTATCGTCCACATTATTGATAGTTTATTCATAATTATGGGATACCTTTTCAAGCAGTCCAAAAAGTACTTAAATGATTACAGGTGATCGTTGTAGCCATTAGATTAGATATTGTTATTTATTTATTTATTTTTGTTGTTGATTAGGATTGCTTTGAAGAAGGCAATGTCTATTCAACCTCAGAAGAAGGTAAATATTATGTTTTATGATCAATCAATACGAATAGAGACATTATAATAATATAATATAATGATTATTACATTTTAATCTACTCCTCTCTCTTTTTCTCTTTTTGTCTTCAGCTTGGTGGTTGGAGAGGAAGATCAAACACTCACGGTAAATAATATGACATGTATTATAATATTATTATTTTATTATTTTTATGCATTAATTAGAAAAGGTTTTGCTCATTTCTCTTCACTTTTGGTGCCTCAACCCAGCAGTGGTAAGTGGCATTCAACTCAACAACTCAACATTGTGTAATATTTACATGTACATACCAAGGTCTCCCTATAAGTTGCTAAAAAAACCTGGTGAAAGACTCTGTACTATAGCCCATGGTTTTTCCAAAAAATGGCTCTGAAATGACCCCCAATTTTTATTACATTTTCTGCTACATATTGATGTACTTATGCTATGTAGAAAGTTTGAGCCAATTCCGACTTCAATTTTTCAAGTTATGACCACTTTTTAAAAACTCCAAATTTCGGAAAAATACCCTGTACTATAGCCCATGGTTTTTTCCAAAAAATGGCTCCGATATCACCCCCCAATTTTTATTACATTTCCTGATACATATTGATGTACTTATGCTACGTAGAAAGTCTGAGCCAATTCTGACTTCAATTTTTTGAGTTATGACCATTTTTTAAAAACTGCAAATTTCTGAAAAATACCCTGTACTATAGCCCATGGTTTTTTCCAAAAAATGGCTCCGAAATCACCCCCAATTTTTATTACATTTCCTGATACATATTGATGTACTTATGCTACGTAGAAAGTTTGAGCCAATTCCGACTTCAATTTTTCGAGTTATGACCATTTTTTTAAAACTGCAAATTTCGGAAAATTACCCTGTACTATAGCCCATGGTTTTTTCCAAAAAATGGCTCTGAAATTACCCCCAATTTTTATTACATTTTCCGATACATATTGATGCCCTTATGCTACATAGAAAGTTTGAGCCGATTCCGACTTCAATTTTTCAAGTTATGACCACTTTTTAAAAACTCCAAATTTCTGAAAAATACCCTGTACTATAGCCCATGGTTTTTCCCAAAAAATGGCTCTGAAATGACCCCCAATTTTTATTACATTTTCCGATACATATTGATGTATTTATGCTACGTAGAAAGTTTGAGCAGATTCCAACTTCAATTTTTAAAGTTATGACCATTAAAAAAAACTTGAATTGAAAATGCTACAGTATACTGGGTGTATTTATAACTAATACAATCGTACATTACTGCAGGCATTTTCTGAGCTTCAAGTGGCTCATTCTATTATCCTTACCAGTGGTACACTCTCACCAATGAGCTCCTTTTCCTCTGAGCTAGGGGTCATATTTCCAATACAGTTAGAAGCTAATCATGTTGTAGCACAGTCTCAGGTCAGTTATTGCTTCATGGATTTAATTTATAGCTATTTTTCTATACTTCAAAATACTTGCTATTTCTATTTTATTTATTTTTTACTAGACATGGGTGTCTACTTTATCTCATGGCCCTAGTTCTCAACCTCTTAATGCAAGCTATCAGTTTGCTGATGTAAGCAAATCTAATAATATTTTGTATTAATGAGCTATTGTGTAGTGTAGTGAGTGTGCCTATTTTAATTTTTGTGTGCTGCCTATGTTTATCTATGTACATTTGGAAGGTTCCTTTCTATATTATTATTGTAGACTTTTGAGTTTCAGGATGAGATTGGTAATGCTATTCTTGAAGTTTGTAAAGTAAGTGACATCTCTGATATACAAATGATAGTTTGTGTCTTTGTACCTTTTCTATTGTCTCATTCTATTTCTCTGTCTTTTATCTGTAGGTTGTCCCTTTTGGTGTCTTATGCTTTGTGTCTTCTTATAAATTATTGGAGAAATTAACCAGCAGATGGCAGGTACAAGTAGTACTATAATAATAATAATAATAATAATAATAATAATAATAATTATTATTATTATTTATATTGTAGGATACTGGTACATGGTTCCAGATTCTCAAGAAGAAGCATATTGTCTGTGAGCCAAGAGCTGCTGATAAAGCAGGTACAATAAAACCATTAAATTGTAACAAAAATCATTTTTACTATTTTTTAGACTTTGAGATAGTCATGTCACAGTTTTACACTCGCGTACAAACAGCAGTTGAAAGAGCCAGATCAGGAGAAGATACTAATGTTGACGATGAAGGTTCTAAATTTTAAAAAAATTAAATCTATTTTTGTGTCGTGTGCTATTATTTTAGATTCAGAGTCTGTGCAAGATGGGGCCCTCTTCTTTGCTGTCTGCAGAGGAAAAGTCAGTGAGGGATTGGATTTTGCTGATAACAATGCCAGAGCTGTCATTACTGTAAGCCCTCACCCCATTGCATTACTCTAAATTCTAATACCTTGATTACTTTAACTTCTACTTTTATAGATTGGCATCCCTTTTCCAAACGTTAAAGATGAACAAGTAATTTTTTTAAAAACTTCTATCAAGCACTGAATCACCATTACTTTTAATTCACTTTAAATCAATCATACATGTAGCTACTAGCAAGTAATAACACAGATCTTATCAGTTGTATTGTTAGGTTGGCTTGAAGAGAGAGTACAATAATTCCCATTCCTATCACAGAGGATTGCTATCAGGCAGTGAGTGGTATGAGATACAAGCATATAGAGCTCTCAATCAAGCACTGGGACGCTGCATTAGACACAAGTGAATACACACACACACTTTTGTAACTTCTTCATTCACAAAGAATAACTTTAAATTAAAATACCGGGTACTATTTTTAATTTCTTTCTTAGGAAGGATTGGGGTGCTCTTATTCTAATTGATGAGCGGTTCAGTAAAAGTGCTAGGTATGTGAAAGGTTTATCAAAATGGGTCCGCCAGCGTGTCGGTCATCACTCTGTCTTTACTGATGCCATGAGCTCACTCAATGAGTTTGTGTCAATGCACTTGCAGAAAGATGAAGAGGAAGTTTTAAGTCAAATGTAAGTTATAATATTTAATGATGTTAATAGAGCTAAACCTTAATGTTTCAAAACGCTTAAATTATTACAAAATTAAAAGTGCAATGCCAGAACTTTTTTCTACACTTTATATCATAAGCTTCAATTCTAAATTTATTCTAGTGAACTTAAGAAGCAGGATTCTTCTTCCCTTCTCAATGACACTACTCTTCCTTATAACTCATCCTTGCTATCCAGTGCTACTACACCTGTCAAGCTACAGCCAAATCTCTCTTCAGACTCCATATCCTCTCTTGATCAATCTTCAACTCCCTTTCTTCCGCATCTCTCCTCCTCACCTTCTGTGCTATCTAATTCACCATTAAATGCTCAGTCTCCATCTGTTAGTACTAAATTATTCTCACCTTCATCTCATGCTATGCAATCTCCTACTACTCCTTCTCCGCTTTCTAATTCTCGATCTATTAATATACCTCTACATTCTGTAATGCCCCAACATCATCATCTAGTAGCTAATTTTAAAACTGCTTCTCCAGTAGCTAATCCTTTAATAACTGCTCCTGTAAAAGCTAATCCTTTAATAACTGCTTCTCCAGTAGCTAATCCTTTAATAACTGCTTCTACAGTAGCTAATCCTCCAGTAACTAATTCTTCAATACCTCCAGTAGCTTCTCTTCCTCAAGTAGCTACTCCTCAAATTCAATCTACTCAAGTTCAATCTACTCCTCAAATTCCATTTATTCAATCTCCACTGCCTAACTTAACTCTTCCTCAGTTACCATTATCTAATGCTATGCACCCATCACCACACACTATACCTCTTACTCCACAGTTACTGAAAGCTCTTGTGTCTCAGGTTGGCTCCAGGTTGATTACTACTGCCCCTCAGCTCCAGCCTATTTTAAGAGCTCAACTCTTAGCATTACAACAACAGGCTCTACAGCAACGACCTCCCAATCTCCAATCACTTAGAACAATCAGACCTGCAGTAAGTGCAGTTACTAATCCTACCATCACAATCACTTCAGCTAGCAAGCCTCATGCAACCTCCAATGCACAAATCACTTTGGTTCATAATTCAGGAACTCTTACACTTACTTCTAATCCTCATATTACTTCAGTTAGCTCTTCTATTGTTAGTCCACCAGTTACTCCACAGCAAACTCTTACTAATAATACTATGCCTAGTAGCAATACCAGTACAGTATCATCAACCATCAGTCCTAATGTAGGGAGTGTATTACCTCCTTCCACTAGTATTCCTCCTACTAATACCTCTCCTGTACTATTTGGTCAGAGTGCTAGTGTTCCTAGTGCAATGAACACATCAGATGATGTCATAGTTATTAATGATTCATTTGATGAGTTAGACAAGGAGAACAAGCTCACAGATTCACTTAAGGAAGGCAATGGATCACCTGCTGATAATAGCTCGCATAGATCCATCAATGAAAGTGATGGAATGAACTCTGAATCACCAGTAGAGCCAGCGGCAACTGCTGTTGACAAAGAACAGTCTCCAACTAATGGTGAAGAGTCAATGCTAACAGATAAACCTGAAAGTTCAGGCTTACCAAGTATTGTTAAAGATGAACCAGTATCAAGTGACAGTAGTAGTTGTGCTAAACAGGAGTCAAACACGTCAGCAGGTGATTCCAGAATGAGGAGGAGTAAACGTCCTGCTTCAAGGACTGGAAAGAGACCACTGGCAAAGAGAAGTAAAAAGAATAAGTCATCAAATAAGGTAAATGCTTCTTTCACATGATTATCTCTATTACTATTTTCATAGCAATACTCCTCACTGAAATGCCAATGTGGTGATGTACTGATGTATATAGAGGGTCCAGTAGCCCATTGTAAGATTTGTAGGATAGATCTATAAAGTGTAATCTTTATGTAGCACTTTAATATTTTTAGCAATGTGTACTTTATTGGTAATTTTTGGTTTTTATTAGCTCAAAAGACATTGCAAGAGCTATTGTCTGTCAGTGAGAGCATGTACAAGACGAGCAGTTTATCTTCATTGTTTCTACCAACTGATCCTGTCTATTTAGTACCATCAGATAACCTCACACCATCTATTGAAATATGTAAGCGATTCATATGTACATGCACTTTACTTCAAGTTAATTTTGAAATTATATTTATTATATTTCTGTGACTTGTTACTTGTAACTTTGATATTCTCACTGTTTTTTAAGATTCTTCTTCTCCATTGAATGCTGTCTGGGAAATGGCAACATGCTACTCAATATTACAGTGTAAGTGCGGCCAGACTGTTGGCATTCAGATCAATGCTTCTGATGAAGAGAATCTCATTGGACAAGTAAGTGACTTTTTTCTCATCTTAAGACTCATAATTTAATAGTTTGTTTTTTTTTGTAGGCTGTGTTCAATAGTAAAGTTGTATCTGCTACTGTTTCCACTGTGATTCCATGTTGTTAACTTTCTCATTTAATTATCATTTTTGGAATGTGAAAAAAATTTATCATTATCAACTTCATTATATCTGGGTGTGTCGGTTGGGTGGTGAACAATTATTAATTGAGCCTTGAGTTGGGTCATAAAAATGGATAGCAAAGTTATCAAGGATATTCTCTCTTCTGATGAAGAGCTGGTAAAGAAAGGACTAACAGAAATTCTCCTCTCAGATGGTGAGCCAGGCTTTGAATCTCCGTGAATACAAAAAGCTATTCAATTTCAATACAATACAGGGGCTGTTAATGGCATTGATGAAGAGAATGCTGAAGAACTTGGAGCCTTTTATAAGGAGCTATGCCAGGCATTAATGACTATCGTTGCCTCTCATTCTAACTTGATTTGTAGCATCTGTGAAACTGTTGCTCTACTAGCAAGAACTGGTAAGGAAGTGTAAATCATTGTGAGAACTTGCTTTACATATGCATACATTAATATAGTACAGAGATCTACTTTATGGTTTACTCTCAAAATTTGTATTTTCGTACTATGATATATTGTACTTATTATTTTTTTATTGTAGCTCAATTTAAAGAAATTGCTGCATCAGCTAATCTGGCGTCGTTACTTTGTCCTTCTCTATCCAGTCCTGATAGATCAACACAGATTCAAACTTTACGAGCTATAGGCAACCTCTGCTTCGATGAAGGCATGTACACAACATGAGTATCTCTCCCCATTTTACTTGTTTCTATACAGATACAGTTAGAGAGCAATGTGCCAGTCAGGATGCACACACAGTCCTCAGTGGTTTGTTAAAGGAGTGTGTATCATTGCAATCCGATACTGAAGTCAATATTAAGTATAAATCAGTTTTGTGTGGCTGCACATTGAATCTGTGCTGTAGCAATGGTAATTATCATCATGATATAATTATAACTTTTATAAATGTGCTTCAAATGCATGGAGTTGCTGGGCTCTGATAATCTTCTATTTATTGAATACTTATTTTTAGAGAAGTTGTCTGGATTGATGGTTGGTTTAGGCGTGATCCAATCCCTCTCATTACTAATATCTGACGAGAAGAATGAAGTTGTACTTAAAATGGCTTTACAAGCCCTTCATGTCATAATAGAAACAGGTAAGAATAATTGGAAAGTATACTGAAGATTTATAATCACTACTGAGTTTAAATGATATAAAGTGTTGAACTGTTGATACTAAGCAATTAATGTATCATTCTCCTTGATTATCATATTATTTTTTATTTGTAGATAGTTGTACAGTTAGTCATTTATGCAGCTCCTCATTATCCAGTTCATTGCAGTACATATTATCACTGCATTCAACTGGTATTGAAAATGATCTACTGGAGCAAGCACTGGAGCTCATTGAGACCTCAATAGAGCCTGATCAAAGTATGCGTGTCATTATAGTCAGAGTGTATGGGTGTTTTTACTATTAAATTATTTTACTTTTTTTGTTTTAGGTGATAGTTCCTGGAACGTTAAATTGGTGTCTAGTGATTGCTTTCATGAGCTGCTTTCTCTGATTGGGACTGAACTATCAGAAAAGATATTTAATATCATTGTACTACTCATCACATCAGGTTCCATATTTTTACTATAATATTTATAATAATTTATGTTTTATAGCTAGCAGTTTTATTTTGCTTTCTTTTTTGTTGCATAGATGAAGCAATGAAGATACTGTTTGTTAATGAAGAGTTATACAAAATACTAAAAGATCATTTACATAATGAAGGACTCTCTCCTAAGGTCCGAGCAGCGGCAATACTTGTCATTGCTAACATGGCAAGAACAGGTTAGGAAAGAGAGAGAGAGAGGTAAAAGGTGAGGAGCTTTTGTTGCTTCTGGTTTTCAGATAGTAATTGTGAGGAGTTAGTGAGAAGAGGTTTGCTGGTTGAACTAGCTAGTGTGGTGAAAGGAACTCCTACTGATGAGGTTAGTTATTGTTACATTCTTAATGATATCAAAATCAGTCACTGGTTAATTAGATAAAATGCATGTTTTAAAGACTGCAAATTTTAAATTTAACTTAACTATTTAGTCATTGACAGTATGGTTTTCAGTAATGAGTGCACTGAGGAACTTATCTCTACCTGGTAAGTCAGTGTGATCATGAAACAGTGTAGCACAATTGTCTATTAATTGTTATGCAGCTTCTAGTAAGGATGCCTTTCTAAAGGAAGGAGTTCTGGACACTGTTGTTAATGTACTCAATGCATCATCAGATGCTAATGTTTTAATAAAGGCCATTGGCTGCTTGAGATTACTGTCCAAGACTGAAGGTTTGATACATGCACTGGCATCATTATTATCAGATGTAAACTTTAAAAATTCATAAAAAATCTAAACTTGATCGTAATCAGCTCAAACTTCTAATACAATGTAACAACATGTATATGTATTAAGAAAAATTATAAAAGTGGAGAAATCTCTCCTTTTCAATTTTGATCAAATTTGGCCAAAATCACTGTACTATAGTACAGGGACTTTTGTCCGATTTTGGAGTAAATTTAAAAATTCATAAAAAATCCAATTTTGATCAGAATCAGTTCAAACTTTTTACACAACATAAAAACATCTATATGTATAAGGAAAAATTATAAAAATGAGGAATTCTCTCTTTGCAATTTTTGATGAAATACCATGGGCAATCATTACACTATTACCATTACTATTATCAAGAGTACTCTTGCTATTATTCAATTACTTTTCTGCACTTTTTTCATAATATATTACTTTTTAATAGATGTCTGTGTGCATCTCATTGAAACAAATCCTGTCTTTAGTCGTGTTCATGCTGTTTCTGAGATGTTCTCTTTTCCCCATATAAAGATAGAGGCCTCCAGACTCTGTGCTGCTATAATCAAGAACAGTCAATCAGGTGAGGGGATAACCCTGTGCATAAAAACAATTATTATTTTAGCACAATTGATGGATACTTAATACTATCTTTTTTTCCTTTAGACACTAGATTGAGGCTTTTGAGTGAAGAAAAGATTTATTCTTTATTATTGTACCTACTTGAAGCTGAATATACCATATTGAAGAATGAAGGACTTATTGCCTTAACGATTGCTGCCTCTTTTAACCTAAGTAAGAGTTTGTTGCGAGGAACATTAACTGAGTAATTTTGTCAGTTATTTCTTGTCACAATATAATTTTCATAAAAATACTTCATATTTTTAGGTGTTATGTTGAAATCAGTGACAAATGAGGATACAATAGAAAAAAATGTTAACATTTTAGAGCAAGAAGAGAGTATAGAGCTAAAGCAGAATTGTTTAACATTTCTCAAAGTATTATTGGATCAATCAAGTAATAAACAGTGTCATAAATAGTTAGTTGTTATATTTTTTTATTTTATAGATGATTTTGTGCAACTAGTAAAGTCAAGTGAGAAACTTGTAGCACTTTTAAATCAGCTATCAAGCTTAGAGAATGAGACGGTCAATGAACAAGTTAAATTAATTAAAGAAATTATTAAATGTTAGACAGGTATGCTTTTTATTATCATTAATTTGTGGCTATAACATTTTCAATTGTTGATGTATCTGTTGAAATTTTTTGAAGTACAAAATTTTGTTAAGAAATAATATAAAAGCAAATATAGCAGTTTAATAAGTAGCATCAGCGTTATAGTTAAAAATAGCAGCAGCCATTATATCAGCGTTTTCTCCTACTGTCTTGATTTCCTAGCAGTTGAAATCACTCCATCATTAGGATCAGTACTGGTTGATATAGACACAGTAGCTGTACCAACACCTTCAGCAGACACTTGTACAACTATATCATCAAGGAACCTCTTGGGATAACATGGGTCTCCGACCAGAGTCCTCTGCCTTCCATCACTATCAATTTGTATCATACGGTCTCTATTAGCTGTAGTATGGTCTTGAGTGACTTGTACGTACAATAGCACGTGCCAGCCCGTGATAAGCACTACACCAGGTGGCATGATTCAGCTCATGACATTGAGGGTTACCATTTCCCACACCAATAATCCTCCCAGGGCCACTAGTGACACTGAATGTTATATTGAGAGATGAGCTACTTAATAAAACTGAAGTGCATTTATTATTTTCTTTTGTAAAATAATTGTTTTATTATCAAAATACCATTGAAACTAAGGTCAACGATGAACTAAAAATACAAATTAAATTACAAAACTGACTAAATTAAGTTTGCATGTACATTTAATGTTAATGTATTTGTAATTTTATACGCATCATGCAGACACAAGATCTAAATTATGCATCTAACAAAAAGCAAATGAAGTTTATGTAATTAAGACAAAAAATCTTCAAAAGTTTTTTTGTATTGTAAATTTATTTTCATTTTTCTTATTTCTGTTGACTATCACTAAAAAATGCATAAATTTTTTTCCACTGGGATTTAATATCTTGTTTTTCGATTTCTTCAAAATCTTTAAATTTAGAAAGCTTATCCTGTAGACGAACTATATTGTAACTCTCCACACATTTCTGCCATCCAGGTCTTCTTTGTTGTAACTCAGACTTGATGAGTAGGTCAACATCAGTGGTTTGATTTGGGTAAAGAGATATTTCATTTAGTTGTTTCATGCAATCATGAACTTTACGTATATCAACCAAAAGTTCATGTAGTAGTTGCTGTAGCTCTCGCTCCATTGTTTCAATTGAAATCTGCAATTTATATTTTTTTGATTTAGCTTCATTGTATCGCTCCAGAAGTTCTTGAAGTGTTCTTGTCTCTTTCTCTTCATAAAATTCAAATCTATAACCATTATTGAAGTGCTTCCTCCAGCTGCATCTGCCAGGACATACCTTACAGCATGCATTGCTTTCACCTCCATCATCCATCGCAGGACATTTCCATAAGTCTTCATTATTAGAATATGGACAATCGCTATGACAAGTAGTGCTACAATTGATACAATTGGTGTCAAACTTGCCTAAAGGTAAATCAATCGTTTTTTGTTTTATGATAGCTACGACATATGTAAAATCTTGATTTGCCTTGATCGTTTCTTCTATGCTGCAAAGGATTTCTTCATATTCTTTTAGTTCAGCAACTTTAGAAAGCCCAACATTGATTTGGTGTTTAAAACCACAAACAATAGCTTCAAGTGTTTTGTGCTCTTCAAAAACTTGTTGTGTTAGTTGAAGACTAACAGAACTTGCCTGTTCAATCTGAATAAAAAACCTGGTGAAGCTAGCATGGCTCATGTGCCAAAAAATGCTAGCAAAATTTGACTTTTTTGGGTCAACAAAAAGTGCAGAATTATTGAATGAAAAGAAATCAGCATGAGGAATAGTAGCTTCCCTTACAGCTTCCATAACTGGAGGATCAAGACTATCAGCAAATGTGAGCATAAAAAAAAAGTTATTTTTGATGTCTTTCCCAAAAATTGAAAGAATAGTTTCAAAGAAAAAAATTTGATTTGGAGATAAATTTGCAAATGATGCTTGTATAACAAAACAAACAGCATGTAATTCATCAAAATAATCGGCAAAAAACCCTTGAATGAGCTTTCTGTAGATTTTATTTCTTTCTAGACCATGAGTATCATCACTAAATCCTGGTGTATTGATGATGGTTAAATTGCAATTAATTGGTGAGCATTCTTGCCAGTATAAGGTGCATGCAGTAATTTCCTGTGTCTGTGAGTATTCATCATCATGAATTAGCTTAAAGCGGAACTTGTGTTCAAGGGTTACACCAAGATAGTAGTTAACTATTCCATTGATTAGTGTTGTTTTGCCAGCTCCTGCAGCCCCAAAAAGCAACAATACTCTAGTTGGCTTATTTGAATTACTTGGCATACCAAACTCAATATTTCTGTATTTCTGCAGCTTGGCAGGCCTTGTTTTTAACTTATAAACTGTTGGTGGTGGCTGATGTGATGAGATGACATCAGAAGCAGCTATTATGTTTTGAAGGTTCAGATCAAGAAGCGACTTTGTTTTAACAGTATTACTTACTTCACTATATTCACTGTGGCCAAGCTTTGTTTCAGCACAAACTTTAAAGATGTGGCATGTTTCAGGCTTTAAGTCATTGATCATAAGAGTTGTTTCGTTTCCTTTTGTGATCTGGTACGCTGCCCAACTGTCACCTGATTCACTACAGTAGATAACTTTATAGTTGTCAATACTTGAGCCATATTTGGGTGCCTTCCATTGTAAGTGAACACTATTCTTGTGTTCTAAAATAGTAGCTTCAGGCTTCCCTACTGGTTGAGTAGGAGGATCGAACTGATGACCAACTGAAGTTCCAAATTCATAGTGCATTATAGTTGCTCCTGCACTGTCATCAGCTTCAGTGGAATGAGTGGAACCTGCAGTCACTATGAACATAACTTTTTTATTATCAATGTTTGCATTAACAAAACTGGTAAATTGCTTTGATTTGACACTTAAATCTCCAACTATAGAACTACTTTTAAACCATGGCTGCACGTGTGACTTGAAAGTAGATTGAGCTCTGTTGCATAAAAATGAAGACATATTCTGAAGAAAGTAATCATCATCTTTTACAACTTTAAACTCAAAACTAAGAACATGATCATAGCTTGCATTACTAAGAGCAGCTTGATAATCCCCAGCACCAAATACAAATTTAATTCCTATATGTGATATAATTAAAAACAGCTATATCTCATTAATGAGATTCATAAATGAAATATAACATATATAACATGCTGATATGGGTCGATACACTCTCCGCCTCGGATACTTTGAATTGATATCACCCTTGGGCCTTTGGCCCTTGGGTGATATCAATTCAAAGTATCCTCGGTCTCGGGATATCGATTCCCATATCGTCGTGTTATATATAACATATATATAATATCAATGACATACCTTGGGTTTTTTTCATTACATCCAAATATTCAATAATGACTTTGATTTCTTCTTCTTTGCTTGCTATCCATTGTTCTAGCGAGCCTGTGTTGAAAGGTGATTGGTGTATGTGCTCCAGCAGTGTGGCTAGCACTTGCTCTTCTTCCAATCCTCCTCGAATCAATGGTAATATTGCTGTCAGCCTTTTCATAAAGTCTGCCTTATGCTCTTTAATCATTTCCTGAAACCATAACGCTTGCTTATTCAAACTGCTAAACTTATCACAAACTTCAGTGTTGATGAGATCATGACTTCTGATTTCCAATTCGTTATAAACATCAATCGCTTTTTGCACTTGCATGACAAGACTGATACTAATTTCTTTCACCATATGTGCAGCTTTGCTTTCAAATTTACTTAAAGGGTACAACCAGAACTTCTTAGGAACAATAGTCCCTCTACTTATAAAACCCAATGGTAATTCCTTATATAATTTTACAACATCTTCAAAAGTATGGGGGCTGGTGTGTTGTAGGTCACCATAAAGCTTGCATCGTAACTTATTTGCCTCCTTTTTGTCTTGGTCATTTAATGCTGCATTTCCTTTAATTAGATCAATACCTGGAATTGCCTTGACTAAAACTTCCATCTTTTTATGTACATCACAATGATTCTCATTGCTCTGTACTTCTCTGTCAAAGATAAAAAATGCTTCTGCCCCATATAGCACACCTGTTACTACATGAGTTGCCATTTGCCTCTCAAAAACATCAAAATGCTGTATTTTTGATGTTGCTAACTGCTTCAATGCTAAATGCTGAAATTCTGAAGTATAATTGTACTCAAGAGTGACACGGTTGTCATTTCTAGAGGATTGTATATCATTGATATATTCTGCTGCTCCAGATATTTTCACCAAGCCGCTCAGCACACTCAATGATAAATTAGCTTCAACTCCAAGGTTAGACATTTTTTTAGAAATTTTATCTTCAGAAACAACTTGAAAGAAAGAGCTTGGTTGTGGTATTGAAGTGACAACAGCTTTAAGTGTTGCATTATCCCACAGTGTTATTTCTGGAATAAGACAATCACTGCGGCAGTCATAAAGCATACCCATTTGAACTGAACGACCAAGACTTGGTAGACCTATATATATATACACAAAAAGATAAGTTAAAAGGAAATTTTTGAGCATGATAATGATACAACATAATAAGCAATATATCTATCACTATAAAAATCAATACAAAAATTATTTTTACACTTACACAGAGTACCAGCCAAATTATTTTTTAGAGAAATTTTAATATCTTCAACGGTAAGTGTAACATCAATGCCACATTGCACACCAAGCCAGTGAAATACATCAGATGAACCAGCAAATAAAGTGGCCCTGAGTTTGTCATGCTCAGAAATTTCGAAACAAGAATACAATAGCTTGATAACAGAAAGGTGCCCATGTTTACTGGCTAGCAAGAGTGGCTGATCAATAACATGAATCTGATCTTTTAACTTTAGTAAAAGTTTGACTAGATCTGTGTATCCCATTTGACAAGCATAATCAAGTGCAGTATATCCAGAGTTATCTGAAATGGTTAACATCGATTTGCTTCTGCTGTAACAATAGCTCCACAATACTGTATTGACCAAACTGAGTTGCCACAATGAGTGCTG